AGGACACATACTGGAAGTGGAAAGAAGGTCAGGTCACCAAGGAAGAGTACAGACAAGTAGCAAGGAAATGTAGGTGTGGCATTAGGAGAGCAAAAACTGAGAATAAACTGAGATTAGCTAGAGAAATAAAAAGCAATTAAAAAGCATTCTTCAGCTATGTGTGAAGCAAAAGACAAAGAAAAGAAAAAGTGGCACAGCTACTAAATGGAGGTGGAAAAATGATAACAGATGACAAAGAAAAGACAGAGATGCTCAATTCCTTTTTTAGCTCAGTCTTTTCCCATAGGACATACTATGAACCTCCAGAAAAATATGAAGCGCAAGTGGAGGGGTCAGGATTGCAGCTGGAGGCTGATAAATGAACAGCCAAGGAATACCTTCCCACCTTGAACAAGTTCAAATCTCCTGGGCCAGACAAACTGCATCCAAGAGTACTGAAGAAATAGACTGAAAAACTCTCAGAACCGCTATCCATTATTTTCTTGAATTCATGGGAAATGGGTGAAGTGCTGGATGATTGGAGGAGGGCTAACATTGTCCCTGTCTTCAAAAAGGGCAAAAAAGAGGAACCTGGGAGCTATAGGCCATTGAGCCTGACATCAAAGCCAGGGAAAATTCTGGAACAGATTATAAAATGGTCACTATGCAAGCACCTACAAAACAATGAAGTAATAACTAGAAGCCAACACAGATTTGTCAAGAATGAATCCTGCCATATTAACCTGATCTCAGTTTTTGATTGGGTAACCTCCCTGACAGAGGAAACATTGTAGACATATATCTTGACTTCAGCAAAGCTTTTGACAAAGTGCCCCATTGAGATCCTGATTAGCAAGCTAACTAGGTGTGGGCTGGATAGATCAAGTGCCAGGTGGGATACACAATTGGCTACAGAATTATACTCTCAGGGTGAATGATTTGGATAAGGAAGTGCAGGAAATGCTTGTCAAATTTGCTGATTACATAAACATTGGGTGGAATAGCTAATACCCTGGAAGACAGAAACAAAATTCAAAATGATCTTGATAGACTGGAACACTGGGCTGAAAAGAACAGAATGAAAATCAACAGGGATAAGTGGAAAGTACTGAACCTTGTAGAAAGAAACCAAATGCATAGTTACAAGATGGGGGATACCTGGCCCATCAATATTAAAAGCAAGAACAATCTCGGTATTGTCGTAGATCACAATCTGAATTGTGAGCCAACAGTGTGATGTGGCTACAAAAAAGGTGAATGCTCTTTTAGGATACATTAACAGAAGTATAGTTTCCAAATCCCATGAGGTGCCAGTTCCCCTCTGATTAGGCCTCACCTTGATTATTGTGTCCAGTTCTGGACACCACACTTCAAGAAGGATGCTGACAAATTGGAACAAGTTCAGAGGAGGGCGACAAGGATGATCAGGCAGCTGGAAACCAGGCCCCGTGAGGAAAGACTGAAATAATTAGGTGTGTTTAGCCTTGAGAAAAGAAGACAGATGGGTGATATGATAACATTTTTTAAATATTTGAAAGGCTGTCATACAGAGGAGGGACAGGATCTGTTCTTGATCATCCCAGAGTGCAGGACACGCAACAATGGGCTCAAGTTAGAGGAAGCCAGATTTTGGTTGAATATCCGGAAAAACATCTTAACTGTTAGAGCAGTAGGGCAGTGGAACCAATTACCTTGAGAGGAGGTGAGTGATGCAACATGGGAGGCATTCAAGAGAAACTTAAACAACCACCTGACAGATAGCCTTTAATCTGAATTCCTGCATCGAGAAGGAGGTTGGACTTCATGGCCTTATAGGGCCCTTCCAACTTCACTCTTCTACTCATGCAAGGGCCATTTAAGCATGTGACCTTCCAGCCTGCAAGAAGCACTAAACCACCACGCTTTTTCTGTATTTTTGAGGAAGTCCCAAGATTCCTGGGAATAAATTACAATCTGACATATATGGCGGTCCCTGTTTTGCTCACTTGTCCCTTACAGCTCATAAATGGTAACTTTATCCGCTCCTGCTCTGTGAGTAGACATACCAGGTTTGCAGACCTTGTTCAGCTTCCTTAGCAGCTGTATACACTTCTCATCATCCCAGTTGTACAATATCCTAGCCAAAATATACAGGTCAGCTTCAGGAATTGGATCATAAAAAAAATCACCTTTAAAAAAAGGGTTGGAGAAGAGATGTTTCATTACATATACAGTTATACAGGAGAAATAATACTCCCCTCTCCCATCACCAGGAATCACTAGTAGCAAGGTATGTCCTGCTGTCCACAGGTCTATCTCGTGCACTATGTGCTGAGTTGTTACTGCTGCTGCTACTTGCCGTCCAGTCAGAATCAGCTCACAGCAACCTTAAAAGGACATACACTTTCAAGGTAAGTGAGATATTTAAAGACTGGTTTTACCAGTTCCACTACCTCATGAGGTTCCATAGCTGAGTGTGGATTCATACCCAGGCCTCCTGAGTTCTGGTTCATCATTTTCTCCACTACGCCACACTGAGTATCAGCTTGCTAGGTATACATTACCAAATCCACACATTCCCAAGGTGGTGCAATGGGACAGTGACAAAACTGCAACTGCATTTCAATTTTACTAAATTTCTTTAAATTTTCACATACATTTTATTTTTCCTTTTCAAAGCCTTTTTTCACTCTCAACCAAAATTTAAAACATACAATTTTGTCTGGTAACAGTAGTTTGAATACTCAAATGTGCTAACCATATCTTAAAAGCATGACTTTTGAATGTCAGCTGTCTTACAAGTGATGGAAGAAGATGCAGTGTCCCAAATGCAGGGAGATCAGTTATATTTTAAGACAGTGAGTCCCAACCGTTTTGACACCAGGGACCAATTTAATTGAAGACCATTCTCCCAAGGACCATTGTGTGTGTGTCCATGTGTGCATGCATCTGTGCATGTGTGCAGGAGGTGTGGGTGTCTGTGCATGTGGGAGATGGGTGGGGTGCATGTGTGCATGCGGGAGGTTGGTGAGGTGTGCATGCGGGAGGTTGGTGAGGTATGCATGCGGGGATGCAGGAGGTAGGTAGCCATCTGTGTGCAGGGGCATATTTGTTTGTGCATGCAGGAGTGTGTGTGGGTGGGAGTGCACATACATGCGTGTTCCTTTAGCCCTCGAAAATCGGTCTCGCCGTCCTGGTCCTTCCAAGGCCACAGACCAGTACTGGTCTGCGACCTGGGCATTGGGGACCCCTGTTTTAAGAGAAAGACCTAAACAATGTGAAGTGTTAGCTTTTATTGAAAAGCTAAGAGACAGACCCAGCGCAGCACAGGTAGGGAACCCTTTTCCTGTCTTCTCTCCATTCCAAGACTTGATCGCTCTGTCTCCTTATATATATGGAGGCATCTTCCTCTCCCTTCACCTACTGCAGGACTCTTTTTCTCTCCTTGCTCACCTAGACATTCACCAAGCCGACTAGTCCAAAAATAAGGGTGGCAGTGCCTTTACTAACTGGCTAGAAAGTTGAATGGGTTAGGTATCTGGCTGTGGAGCAAAAGCAAAAGTGTGCACCTTATATATTGCACCACAATGCTTAAAGCACTCTCTGGGCGGTTTACCAGTTAATTATGCAGGCTACACATTTCCGCCACCACCGCCTCCAGCGAGCTGAGTACTCATTTTAGCAGTCTTGGAAGGATGGAAGGCTGAGTCAACCTTGAGCCAGTCTAGAGTACTTTTAACATAGCCAAGTGCCTCCTGGGAGAAGGGCCAGACTGTTGTGGCCTTGGGCAACCTGCACAGTCCCAGGATGCCCCCAGAAAAAGGGAATGGCAAACTTGAATATTCTCCACCTGGAAAAGAGTCACCATGAGACAGAATTGATTTGATGGCTCAAGATTATTAAGATTCCCTGTGTGGTCTGGTGGATAGAGTGACAGGCTAACAATCTGGAGAACAGAGTGTAAATCCTCACTTGATTGTGGAAACATTGCAATGAATTAAATTCCAATGCAAGTCGACATCCTTAGGCTTTAAGATAATGTGGGTTTCGCAATGACTGAAGTTTAGGTCAAGATACTCTAAACAGCTGCTTCTCAGAAACTTTCTTTGGAGCAACCATTCTCAACAGGGGCCAAGCACACACACACACACACATACACACATATGCAGGCATACGTGCGCGCGCACATGCTCTCTCTCTCTCTCTCTCTCTCTCTCTCTCTCTCTCTCTCTCTTTGGACACTGGCAGTGCCTGGTGAGATTTAGAGGCGTCTCCTTATGCCTTTCTCCTCTCTCCTCTCCTCTGTCTCTATATCTGAGACAGCTGTTGCGACAGGGATGAGCAAGCTAGGCCCCTGTTTCTGCATATAGCACCTAAGGATGCTTCTGCAAGTCTTCTTTCCTGTTTTGACCCCCCCTTTTCTCCCAGCAAGTTGCTTATTGCAGGGTTTAAAAGGAATTCATTGTCCTCACTTGTTGCAGTATTTCAATAGGTAACGTTTCAATAGGTAACCTGTTACATTACTCATTGCCAAGCTTTGCTGTACCATTTGTCTTGCTTTTTATTGAGAACAGCAATTATTGATGAACAGAATGGTCATAGAATGGCACAACGCATGAGAAAGGCATCTTAAAATGCCCTTAAACCTCCTCAACACAGAGGGGACTACGAAAGCCATTTACCGTGCAATCGGCATCAGATGGGGGCACACATGAACTCAAATTAAAACACAGCGACTGCATGATGTAAAAAGCTCAGTGTGGGGAAACCCGTTGGGGAATCATCTCTTTTTTGGTGGGGAAGCATCTTTTTGTTTTGTTTTGTTCAGCCAGCAAAGGTGTTTTCAATGGGCTCCAGTCAGATTGACAGAGCTTGTTGTCTGCTTTCAGCCTAGTGGGGTCACCTGATCCAAAGGATAGCTTGCTGGGGTGTCAATTCCCCTCAACTGAGTTTTTTGTTTTGTTTTAAGGAAAAAAAGAACATCATATCACTAGGTCACATTAGGAAAACTATTTTTTAAAATAAAAAAACATGTTTGGAGTAATAGACATATATTTTATTAGACAGCGTTCTTTAAGCACAAAAGCATGAAAGAAGCGTGAAGCAGGGTAATTATTTTCTTCCCATGAGGGTGTCATACAACGTTCCTTTCTTGAGCTGCATCTCCTTGAAGCCAGCAGCCGTGAAGAGTGCCTGGTACTCAGAGGAGGTCCGTTCTTTCCCCTTACTGTGGAGCAACATCAGCATGGAGTGTAGGTGGGCTTCTGGAGGCCCACATTTATCCTCATCGAGAACCAGCTCAACCACTAACACTCCACCACCTGTTACAATATATATGTATATATTTCACTGGCTTAACAAAGAGAAGACACCATAACATATTTCTACAGCATTGTGAAGCATGACTTTCATTGTTCCAGGCAACCAGGACTCCACAACTGAAGTTTAAGGAAAAATACAGTAAAATCTAATTGGCCATGACATAAAGGCAAGATCCAGAGTGAATGTAATGTGGCTCTTCCTGGGCTAACTCCAATCATGGCTTATCATACTGGTATTCACTTGATATTTTAAAGATATATTTCTACAGCATTGTGAAGCATGACTTTCATTGTTCCAGGCAACCAGGACTCCACAACTGAAGTTTAAGGAAAAATACAGTAAAATCTAATTGGCCATGACATAAAGGCAAGATCCAGAGTGAATGTAATGTGGCTCTTCCTGGGCTAACTCCAATCATGGCTTATCATACTGGTATTCACTTGATATTTTAAAGATACCAGAAGCATCAAGCATGCTGTCAAAGAATGCATAGGTAGCAAAAGGCATGGGGGGGGCTTTTATTCAAATACATTTATTCAAGTACAGTCATGCCATCTTCCTCTGGTTGCTGCACAATGGTGGAGGGTGGGGGATTAATTTAAATGGGGCTTATTTTCAGGTTAGGGCTTATTTTCAGGGAAGCAAGGCATAAGGGCCATGTATATGGTGAGTCAAAGCTTTGTTATCACACCTTGAAAACTGTAGTTTTGGCTACTCCTTCTGTATAAAGAAACATACCAGGTTTGCAGGCCTTATGCAGTTTGGTTAGCAGCTGTATACATTTTTCATCATTCCAGCTATGCAGGATCCTAGCCAAAATATATAGGTCAGCTTCAGGAACCGGATCTTTAAAAAAATCCCCTGTTAAAAAAAAGACACAACACTATTTATTTCAGTGTACTGTCTTAAAGGAAGAATAAGCAGTTCTATCTTTCAGAAGTTTCTAGTTATAACCAGAGCTTGGTATACGACTTCCCAAAAAACAACTGGTAATGTTACTTGCTTGCGTGGGGGCAGGAGACAGGTATCTTTATCAATATACATATTTGCCACTTGAGTAGGACTGTGCTATCTGCAGGAGATATAATACAGTATATATATTTCTGGGTTTTTCCTTTTAATATTTTCATACCAAGGATGTGAAACTCTGGATATTGACATCAAACATACAAGGGTCCTAGTATACAGAGAAATATTATCCTGGGAGAAATATATTCCTCCCAGTGGCCAGCTCCAAACTCCACCATAGAAATATAGTTGGACCCCCAATCCCAAGGGGAATCTGTTTGAAACCCACCCTCCCAGAGTCTGAAAAATGTGCATTATGCATAGCATGGTCTCTGGCTCCTTATTATGGCCAGTTCTGGTAATGTTATCCTTTGAAATACGTCTTTCTATGATTTTTCTATCAACATTTTCAATATTTTCAGAATGTGGATAAGTGACTCAGCAGATACCGATCCTGTGAATACAGAGGTCCTACTGTATGTTAAAAATAAAGAGGGCAATACAAATAAACCTCTGGGGTATTAAAAGGGGTGGGGATAGGCAAGAGGTGAGATCCCTTTCTCTTTCTCTTTCTCATCTGTGAACATGCAGCTTTATTTTATTTCTATTTAAAACACCTTTTCAAAATTTTAAAAATACTCTCTAGATTATATGGGTTTTTTTTCATTCTATACTGAAATCCAACTTGGCAATGGAACATCTGTTTCTGGGCTGGCCAAAGACATTTTGCTACCTGAGGTAACGAAGCAAGGCGGAACCTTTACTTTCTCCCACACATGCACACACATTAAAGTGTGTGTGAGTTCTGTGCCTTCAAGTCAGAGCCAAATTATAGTGGCCCTAAGGTAAGCGGTTTTACTAGTTCCAATCCCCCAGTGAGTTTCTATGGGTGACCAGGGATTTGAACCAGAGTCCTAGTCTGGCATTCCATCCACTTACACCACAATGGGAATTAAAATGTAGAGTACCCAAATCAGGCATTTTATTTTGGCAGAGGGCTCAGAATCTCCGAAGCCCCTCTTCTTATCTCTACTGGTAAAAGAAGAATGGAATTTAAAAGTCAAGTAATTAATACTTTGCTCCTTGTTTATAAGAGCAAAAAACTGCTTCCTGAGGCAAGGAAAGAATGTCCATAGTGTCTAGCAAGGTCCATTACTATAATGCACTAGGAGGTAATAATGCCCTTTTGCAGGAAAATCCATGTGCCTCCTCCCATGTGCATTATAGTCATGGAAGGAATTTTATTTTACACCCATCTTTCAAGATTAGCTGGAACTTAATAACTGAGCCTGAGAGTAGGTCAGACAGACTATTGCTGAAAAGGCAATACTGATCATGCAGTGGCAGAGTAGAAAAAGGGGCCCTGTAGACTATTAAAGGTAAAGGTTCCCCTTGACAATTTTTGTCCAGTCGTGTTCAACTCTAGGGGGTGGTGCTCATCTCCGTTTCCAAGCCATAGAGCCAGCGTTTTGTCCGAAGACAATCTGCCGTGGTCACATGGCCAGTGCGACTTAGACACTGAACGCGGTTACCTTTCCACTCAGGTGGTCCCTATTTATCTACTTGCATTTGCATGCTTTCGAACCGCTAGGCTGGCGGGAGCTGGGACAACCGACGGGTGCTGGCATAGGCATTGTCTGGAAAACTACCTACCTGGGAACTACATTTTACCTGTCTGGAAAGTCATCCAGCTTTCCTGAGAAAACACAGGATCCTTCTTTAAACTTTCCACTACTTCGGGTAGGTCAAATACTATCGCAGTAGAATTTGGGTACAGTGAAATGCATTCTTTAGCTAAGGTACCAGCAGCTCCTTAAAGAAAGACCACAAATGAACATTGTACACAATTTAGCAAAACAAATGAATATGCTGTGCATTTCAATATTTTCCCCAAACATCCCAGCATAGCATTTATAGAGATAGATGGTTTCCCATGAATTATGAATTATACTGCCAGGATAGAACAAAAATTAGGTATTTGCCCCTTTCCTAGCTCTCACGGTATGAGAGGAGAGTAATCCTATCTGCTGTTAGGGGAAATCAAAGCAAGGTGGTGCTAAAGTAATAGAAAACAAATCCATGCTAGGTGTGAGGAAGGAAGCAGGGAGGCCTTCCTGCTCATGTGCCACCAGGCTTTTCACTCCAAAGTGAAGGAATGTGAGACTGCAAGT